GGTTCCCTGGGGCTGCCGTCCTGGAGTGCCCCCAGGGCAGCCGCACCGTCCTGGGAGCGTCGGGGAAGGGCGGTGGGGGTGGAGCAGCGGCACGGAGAGGGGTGACCCCCGGCGCTTCCAGAAGCACTTCTGGCTCCGATATCCCCTGGGCTTCTCCGGGTTGATACCAGGGTGCAGGCAGCCCTCCCAAACAGGGAGGCTTTACAGACCCTGTTGCTCTCAGCCGACCCGCGTTTATCAGTTCATCATCTGTAAATTTTATCGAGTTTTAATCAGCTGTGATGTTTCTAACTGTAGTCTCTTATAAACGTTCAAGTGACAGCAGCCTTTCAAAATAGGAGCTAAAAACATTTAGCTTTAAGTAAGCTATAAGTCACCATATCTACCTATGGAGTAATATCTGGCATCCTCTTGAGATGTGAGGCAGTGCACAACGATGCTCATATGTACAGGACAGCTTTATGCATTCCAGAGTGCTCAATACTACTTCATAAATATTACTTTATAAAAGCAAAAGTAATATAGCTTCTCAGTTGTGCAGGTTTAGGAAATTGAGGTTTTTTGTGGTCATGTCAGTAAAACTATTTCATGCTGTATTTTTTTATCTGCAGTGAGTTAGCAATTTTGAAAATATAATGGGAATATATAATGCCATTAACACTTATGTTCCTAATTCTCAAAAATACTTGCAAAATCTTATATTCATTAATTTAAAGAGACAACTCATTGCATATACGTTTACAAGTGTGTGCATGCTCACACTGCAGGACTGGAGCTTTTTCTACCTTTGCAATAAACTGCAAACTTTCTGCTAAAGGAAGATAGTTACTAAATATTTTTGTGCAGTTCTGATTCATGTATGAAATAGACATGTATAAGGTTCTCTATCTCCCTCAGTACTGCTTACAGTATTTTCTATTTAAATGGGGTTTTTTGAGCAATAATTTTATCTTGTTTAATGTCTGTGTATGTGTTGCACTTTTATAGGAGATTTACGTGACTCTGCATCGCCTTCGTTGAACTCACCTAGGTAAAGTAGTATTGGCCAGTTCCATATATGAATAATCACATTGCACAAAAAGTGCAAACAAAACCTAGTGTAACTTTTTAAAATAATTTAAAGTTTTTTCTTTCAATGTTTTACTGCACAAGATTGTTGCCTTTTTCTCCTAACTTCCTTATAGGTTTAAAAAAAAAAGTTTTCTTAATAAAAGTGTTGTTCTGAGGGATCAGATTCCTATTGCAGTAAATTCTCATTTGTCCACTAACTCTGCAGCTGGACTCTAGAATTTCTCTGAATATATATTCCATGAGGAACTTCAATTCTTAGGAATTCCTAAGCTAAACCAAAAAGCCCTATCTCAAATATAAGCAGTTTCTGCCACAACTCAGAATAATACTGTCTAATGAAAAAATATCCAGCAAGTTAATGTGTCTTAAATCTAGTATAACATCTTCCCTTTCTCACCTGCTTCCTGTTTTGTTCTTTTTTTTTTTTTAGCCCTTTCCTCTGCTGCTCCTCAACCCCACATTTCAGTCATGAAGTCCTTCCCTTTTAAACTATTCTGTTCCTTTCTCTTGTTTACCAAAAGTGAAAATCACTAATGGTTATAACACCCTCATGCTATAATGGCTTTTGGGAAAGGATGAAGTAAAGTAAATCCAAGTTTGCTGCCACTTCATGTAAGAACTTAATTCTTTAATATTGTGGTTTAACCCATCCGGCAGCTAAAACAACCCCACAGCTGTTTGCTGACTTCCCCACCTCCCAGTGGGATGGGGGAGAGAATGAGGAGAAAGGGGGGAAAAAAAAAAAAAAGTAAAACTTGTGGATTAAGATAAAGACAGTTTAATAGGGCAGAAAACAAAGATGATAATCAAAATAATAATATACAAAGCAAGTGATGAACAGCACAATTTCTCACCACCCCAAGTTGATGCTCAGTGTGGTCCAGCTGCCCCACCTCCCAGCCCACCCCCCCAGTTATATAAGGAGCATGCCGCCATATGGTATGGAATATTTCTTTGACCGGTTTGGGTCAGCTGTCCTGGCTGTGTCCCTTCCCAGCTTCTTGAGCTCCTCCTGCCTTCTCATTTGCAGGGCAGTATGAGAAGCTGAAGAGTCCCTGACTGCTTGGCAACAACTAAAATATCAGTGTGTTATCAATATTCTTGTTCCGCATCCAAAAGACAGTACTATGCTAGGTTTAGGAAGAAAACTAACTCTATCCCTGCTGAAACCAGGACAAATATTATATCGGTATTTGTGCCAGAACTCCTCAAGGCTTTAATAATCATGCACAGTTACTTATTCAAGCTAAATTTACTGGTGCATCCACTGATAAATGTGATGAAATAGGTTAGGGACCTTGTAGAGGCAGGCTTTGCTATCAGACTCATGGATCAAGAATTGATTGTTCTTTCCCTTCATGCAAGCAGCAAAGAAAATGCTGGTAACTTCCTGGAATGTAGCATCATCTGCTCCATTTGTAAAGTCTTTTATAATGTCTAGTAGTAAGAAGGATGCTTGAAGCACATAGTCTTAGAAACTACCGAAACTTTTATTATAACACTGGTTTTATATATCTCAAGTTCACTGTGAAATGTCTTTTTTTTAGAGCTGAAGTTACATGCAACAGCAATAAACACCACTAACTTCATGTTCTTTGTTTTTAAATCTGCCACATTGATACCTTTAATAAATCTGTGACTTGAAATGATGTGTACAGCTAGAAGTAGTATATTTTCAGGAGAGACCTTTGTATGACTTCACAGGCTTAATCTGATTTTTGTGATTTAATTCTGTCAAACAGCTGATGTATCTATCTGGAAGTAATCTAATGCATAAATATTCATTTAGTGTTGAAGGTGATGCTATCAAAGTTTATGTAAGGGTACGTCCCCCTTCAGAGGGAACTGCGTTAACCGATGGAGATCAAGGCTTGTGTTTATCTGTTCTTTCATCAAATACCATCCGTCTGCATTCGAAGCCTGAGCCAAAGATCTTCACTTTTGATTATGTTGCAAATATGGAAACAACACAGGTAATAACTTCCAGAATCTCATAATGGTATTGCAGTTTTTCCCCAAATTTTGGCAAATGCTAAAGGCAACTAAAACTTTCTAAAGATGTAATGCCTTAGGTCTTATTTTTTGCAGGGGTCAGATTGGTAATATGTAGTTATAGTGTAGAAATGTTGCATTAAATTCTGCTCTCTAATAATTTGAATGTATTTTTTTAACCATTAATTTCTTTAATTGAAGTTTGTGTTAAAATTGAAGCTTCTATTTGTAAATGTTATGGTAACACCATAGACAGAAAATAACCCCCCTGTTGAGACAAACATATGAAAATAGCTGGAAGTCAGTAGCTAATATTAAAGATGTGATTTGTGTATTAGGAACTTATAAGTTTATATTCTATTTGTTATATTTCCTTCTTATATGTTGACCTTTTAAACAGATGCACTATTCATCTAGGAAAGGTAATACTGGAAGGAAAATCCTTCAGTTTAATTTGCATAATATTATGTTTGAAATTCTGATCATAATTTTAATTCCTCTAAGACTTCAATTCCACTTATGTTTAAAAAAACAAAACGCCCAAAAAACCCCACCCACTGTAGGCTGTTATTTGTAGCTAGGCTCTTCTTGCAGGTCTAAGAGAAATATGTGAGAATAGATGAGGCTAACAGTTGTGCGATTTGTTGAATATGCCACTGTGCAGTGGTAGATGTTGAGTGTCTTAGGCTCAACTTTGACCTACTAATGGTATAAACCACATAACGTAATCAAAAAAAACTGGACCACATTTAATATAATGTATATTTGAAAGCTGTTACTATGATGCTGCATTTTATGATTTTTTCTTTGTTATCAACAAAGAATAAATTTTTTCAGAGGGAGTGATTTATGTCACAAAGACTTGGGATATATTGTTTTGCTGTGAGACCTCCAGGAGTCATGATTCATGTCTAACCTTAAGGAATGTGTCTATTTTATACATTATAAAGTTATGGCGTAGAAAACGCTGATAGATACTTAAATGACTGGTGCCAAGTGCCTTCTCTTTCCC